AAACTATCTTTCAAAATTGATGGAGAAATAAGATACTTTCATGACAAAGAGCACCTTAGGAACTTCATGAATACCAAACCAGCAATCCAAAAAATGTTACACAATATCCTAGGAAAAGATAATGAGGATCACAACCCCAGGAAGCACAGCAAAATGAATCCATCAGGTACAATAAGAAATTAAATGTAAAGGGGGAGAATCCAACAAAAAGAAAAAGTTATGACAATGATAAGCCAATACGTATCAGTTATAACCATCAACATTAATGGTCTCAATTCACCAATCAAAAGAAATAGACTGGCAGAATGGGTCAAGAAGCAAAATGCAATAATTTGCTGCATATAAGAAACACAATTCATTCAAAAGGAAACTCATAGACTGAAAGTTAAAGGATGGAAAACAATACTCCATGTGGTAGGAACCTGAAAAAAAGCAGGAGTAGCTATTCTCTTTTTGCAGATGAAGTAGATTTCAGACCAACACTGATTAAGAGATACGAAGAAGGACAGTACACCCTTGTAAAGGGAAGAATCCAAGAGGAAGAGATGACAATCATAAATATCTATGCAACAAACACTAGTGTGCCCAACTATATAAAACAAATACTAATGGACATGAAAAACCATATAAGCACTAATATAATAGTAGTGGAGGACCTCAATACCCTGCTGTCACAAATAGATTGATCAACTAGACAAAAAGTAAGTAATGAAATACTAGAACTCAATCAAACTCTTGAACGAATGAACTTAACATGTTTACAGAGTGTTTCACCCTACAAAATCAGAATGCACATTCTTTTCAGCTGCATGCAAGTCATTCTCCAAAATGAAGCTCATACTTGCTCATAGAACATATTTAGGTAAGTGCAAAGGAGTAGAAGTTATCCCCTGTAAATTATCAGACCATAGTGCAATGAAATTGGAGATCCATAGCAAAAGAAACTGCAAAAATTTCATAAACACATGGAAATTGAACAACACACTTCTGAATAACCAGGGACACAGAGGAAATTTTAAAAAAATCAGACAATTCCTTCAATTAAATGACAATGATAATAGAACATACAGGAATCTATAGGACACAATGAAAGCAGTCTTACCAGGGAAATTCATAGCAGTGAAAACTAATATTATGAGAACAGAGCAAGCCCAATTAAACAACCTGATGCTGAACCTCAAGCTTCTAGAAAAAGAACAGGACAAACCCGAAGCTCATACAAAGGAGGAAATTATAAAGATCAGAGCAGAAATCAATTCAATGGAGACTAAGAGGATGATACAAAAAATCAAGGAAGCCAAGAGTTGGTTCTTCAAAAAGAATAAACAAAATCAAAAAACCCTTAGCCAACCTTATCAGAAAAAGGAAAGAAAAGACCCAAATCCATGCAATTAGGAATGAAAGAGTGAAAATACAATGGACTCACCAGAAATCCAGAGGATCATCAATACCTACTTCAAGAGCCCACATGCCAATAAGATGGAAAACACAGAAGAAATGGACAGATTCCTAGACACATAAGAATTACCAAAGTCGAACGAAGAAGACCTAAAAATTCTAAACAACCCAATATCAATCAATGAAATTGAAAACATAATTAAAAACTTACCAACTAAGAAAATCCCAGGTCCTGATGGCTTCACTACTGAATTCTATTAGACATTTAGAGAAGAACTACTGCCACCACTGTCTAAACTCTTCAATGGAATTGAAAGGGAAGCAATACTCCCAAATTCATTTTTGGAATCAACCATCACTTTGATCCCCAAAGCAGAGAAAGACCCAACCAAAAAAGAGAACTATAGGCCAATATCACTAATGAACATAGATGCAAAAATCCTTAATAAGATACTGGCAAATAGAATGCAAAAGATCAGCAAGAAGATCATACACCCTGACCAAGTGGGATTCATGTCTGGGATGCAGGGATGCTTCAACATATACACTATATCAATAAAGGCAAGGACAAAAACCATATGACTATCTCCATAGATGCAGAAAAAGCATTTGACAAAATCTAATATGCATTTATGATAAAAAACCCTACAAAAAATTGGCATAGATGTTCTCTACCTCAATCTGATAAGAGCCATCTATGAAAAACCAACAGCCAATATCATACTAAATGGTCAAAAACTGAAATCCTTCACTCTAAAATCAGGAACAAGGCAAGGATGTACACTATCGCCACTCTTGTTCAATATAGTTTTGGAAACATTAGCTACATGGCAATTAGACAAGAGAAAGAAATAAAAGG